GTAGAGGCTGAGCAGAACCCTGGCCAATGGCTGGGTGGGAGAAGGTCCGGGTGGTCCCACCTGGCCCGTGGGTGACCCTGGGCGGTACCCGGGGCAGGAAGAAGCTGGCGCAGCGGCTGCAGGAGGCCGAGGAGGCCGTGGAGGCCGTCAAYGCCAAGTGCTCCTCGCTGGAGAAGACCAAGCACCGGCTGCAGAATGAGATCGAGGACCTGATGGCCGATGTGGAGCGGTCGAACGCGGCCGCCGCCTCCCTGGACAAGAAGCAGAGGAACTTTGACAAGGTGGGTGGGTGGGCGTGGCCAGAGCGGGGCTGAGGGGTGAAGCCGGGTGTGGGGTGACCACCGGCGGTCCCCAGGTGGTGGCCGAGTGGAAGCAGAAGTTTGAGGAGTCGCAGACGGAGCTGGAGGCGTCGCAGAAGGAGGCCAGGACCCTSAGCACCGACCTCTTCAAGCTGAGGAACATCTACGAGGAGTCCCTGGAGCACCTGGAGACCTTCAAGAGGGAGAACAAGAACCTCCAAGGTGAGGCCGTGGAGGTCCCTCTGCCCACCGGGGTGTCCCTACGCCCGTCCTCGTGGGACCTGACGGGGTTTCCCCTGGCCAGAGGAGATCTCGGACCTCACGGAGCAGCTGGGTGCTGGCCACAAGTCCATCCACGAGCTGGAGAAGGTCCGGAAGCAGCTRGACGCTGAGAAGCTGGAGCTCCAAGCCGCCCTGGAGGAGGCTGAGGTGGGACAAACCCCATCCCTCCACATCCCCACGCCGTCCCGGTGGGATTGTTCATCCTCCTCAAGGTCCTCCGTGTCCCACCAGGCCTCCCTGGAGCACGAGGAGGGGAAGATCCTGCGGGCCCAGCTGGAGTTCAACCAGGTGAAGGCCGAGTACGAGCGGAAGCTGGGCGAGAAGGACGAGGAGATGGAGCAGGTGAAGCGCAACCACCTGCGCGTGGTGGAGTCGCTGCAGACCTCGCTGGACGCCGAGACCCGCAGCCGCAACGAGGCCCTGCGGCTCAAGAAGAAGATGGAGGGCGACCTCAACGAGATGGAGATCCAGCTCAGCCACGCCAATCGCGGTGCCAACGAGGCCCAGAAGCAGGTCAAGGCTCTGCAGGGCTACCTCAAGGTACCTGTCCGAGGGGACGCCGAGCTCCTGAAGGAACCTGTATATGGGGAAACCGAGGCCCTGAAGGAACCTGTCCATGGGGTGTGGAGGAGTAGGAGRTTCCTGAAGGTCCCGTGGGGACGTGGAGTGTAGGAAGCCCTGGAGGTACCTGTCCATGGGGACATTGTGGTGTAGGATGTTCCTCAAGGTACCTGTCAATGGGGACACTGAGCTCCTGCAGGAACCTGCCCTATGGCACGTAGAGGTGTAGGAGG